ATTGCTTTTGAGCTCTGCTGTTAGTGCTAACAACTTTGTTGAAAACAATGGTTTTAATAAAAAAAAATAGAAAAGCGTGAAAGATTTCGGAGTCATTCGTGACGTTCCCATTGAATATAGTGTAAAAGAAATCACTGAAAAAGCTGTGTCTGATATTCCCTTGAAGTCTGTTATTAGGTTTCGAAGAAGAAATCTTAACAAGAACGATCTTATTGCCATAACGAGTATTAAAATAGGTTTTAAAGGAAAAGCCCTACGCAAAGCGATCAAATTCAAGGTTTGGAATCTACCCGTGGAATACTTCGTACCCATCTTAAAAAAATGCTTTAAGAGCGCTAGACATGTGCATTTGTCAAAATTCTGGATAGCCAAGGAGCACAGGTGCGTGGCGAGGAGTCTCCCAAGTATGAAAATTGTGAAACGGTGAGGAGCTTGTTCTGAGGCTCAGGTGAGCACAAAGCTCTAAGGGAGCGGGAACTAAATATCAACAAAATTATGACTATTAAAAATCTTTCCTTTAAAGAAGTGAAAGAGAATTGTTCCTCAAAATACTTTGAATGTCTGGATGACAACTCCTACGATGAGAATTTCCCTCCATTGGTGAACTATAACAAAGAAAAAATTTAATGCGGTCGTTGAAAGGAAACCTGTTGTTTCCAAACCTTCGCCCAGGTCACCACCCGAGCCGTCTGTAATAAGATCTCAGCGGCCAATAATTGCGAACACCAATTTGCGATTCTCGTAACTTGATAGATTAATCACTGCGATTAAAGAATGTATCCGTCTAATGATCCCTCTGAATCTTGTTAAAGAATTTGAAGAAAAACGTCTCATTGTGCTAATACTCGCGACGATCAAGCGCATAGTACTACGAGTAAATCCGTTCGAGTTGCGTTTTCATATAAAACATGATCTCAATATAATATTCAAAGTGTTCGGCGTAAATGATCATTTTTGGATTTTTAGTTGAACTCAAATAATATTGCTTTTCTGCTTCTTAAGTAAAATTTTAAGTTAAATCTTAAGAGAAGTTTTTCTAAAATATGACAATTATTTTAAGTTAAAAGTTCCAATTATACTTCAGCCACCAAATGCCGTGAAGACGGCTGTGATGATGTAAGTACATTAGCTAAGAAAGGTGTCAATTCCAGACTTATTCCCTACAATTCTACTGTTAGCATTATTATCATCAAAACCATGAATTTTAAACCGGATCTTTTCATAGCATCATGCTACTTTCCACTCAGTCTTGATGTACAAACTTTTCGTGATGAGATTCAGAGATTATGTGACCTTCTTGATGGTGAGCAAAATGTGATTCTAGCTGGACATTTCAATATTAGGCACTGATTACATGGCGTTCAGCTCTCGACCAACAAAGACAAGATCCTTGTAAATGTCACCAATGTCAGCAGTTTTAATGTTTTAAATAACGGTAATGCTGCTTTTCAATATAACCAGAGTGATCGCACGGCGAGCAGTGTCTTGGATCTAACTTTCTCGAATTCAACTATTTGATCACGCCTAACGTCTCCACTAGGAAAAGTCAGCACGCTCCCAGTTTATTTCACAGTCACAATAATTCTGTTAAAAAAGCAGAAAATTACATTTCACGCAACATCCTTATGGACTGTCTAAAGTGTGTTCCTTCCGATTTATCATCAATTCAAAGTGCTTTTCAGTCTATGATCAAGTCTGCTAGAAGCAACTTTTCTGATATAGAGTCCTTCTTACCTAAAACTCGGTAGAACGCTTCCCTGTCAACACTTTTTCGCAAATACCAAGTTGCAAGTATGCCAACCCAGCAAACTTCATTGAATATATGAAAGCACTGAACGGATGGACGTCTGCAGTTAGAAAGGCGAAAAGGACACATAGAGCAATCACGATTAAGAAGTTATGTGGTAATGGCAACTCGGGTTGTTCTGGAATTACGTAAACGGTTATCAACATTTTAGTCAAAAATTAAACGGTTGTGCTGTTTGGAATGACCACGTAATAAAGACACGGATATGCTTATGAGCTATACGACAAGTGTTAATCTGATTACAATACCTTCCATTCCTTTTAGTAATCTCAACAATATACCCTTTTTATTGAGCTAATGTATGTCTTAAGTTCCAGCAAAAGGATTACTGCTGCAGGTTGTGATGGAGTTAAGTATGACAGGGTCAGAGCACTATCTGGAGGAAGCTTAAGTATCCTCTTGCATGCAATTAATAACTGCTGCTCTATCAAGTTTATATCCTTAGATTTGCGATGTATCAAAGTTCCCATTCCTAAGGCAGGTAAAGACTTACATGATTTAAGTAACTTCCGTCCAATTTCGCTAATGTCTGTATTCATAAAGATTATCAACCTCACGGTTAAGGAGAGACTAAAAGAGAGTAAAATGATTGTTATGCTTTCCTTGATTGTTAAGCTTGGTAGAATTCTATTAAACTTTTTAATTCCTCTTCAAATACGTCTGTGGACATTAAATGTTTTATTCAAGCGTGTGTTGGTAATAGGTACAGAAAGAGTTGAAGGGTATGGTGGTATTGCGCAAGGCAGTTGTTCAAGCTCCATGCTTTTTAATTTATGCACAACTATTTTACACGATCTTCAAGATGACAAAACTTATATTTTCAATATGCAGCTGATTTCCTAATTGTATCTGCGGATTTATTGTTATCAGTGGCTGTGGATAATTTGTCGATAAAAGCTAATCTTTTTTTCGATGCATACGCCGATAATAATTTATATTTTAACTCCAGCAAAACAATGCTATTTATCGAAATCAGGCTCTTTATCAAAGGAACTAAAGTTCATCAGGAAAGATCTCTTCGATTTCTTGGTGGAATTTTAACTGACAGCCTAACTCTTCGTGGACATTATGAGAAAACCTACAAAGACTGTCAATTTGGATTGATTGTATTAGAAGTTCTTAATTTCTTCAAGTTATATAATGGTCTCCTCGATCTCTTTGCAGCTAAAAATGTACGTCATCTCGGAGAACTTGCTTCATTAGAAAAACGAATTTATGGTTTTTAATACATGTAAATTATTTTTTGCATTCAAACATCTTCTGCTGCTGCACCATTCCCCTTTTGTTTTCGGCAACACTTTTTTTTCACATGATTTTTAACAACTCAACAATCTACAATTCCACACCCACACACAACTACACTTACGATATCGGCTTTAGCTATCACGACCGCTTTTTTTTTGTTGTGTTTTATGTATACTTCTTGCGAATAATTACTACTGTTTATTATCTGGATATATAAGCTACAAATGTATTGGCTTGGTCCATTTTAACTCAACATCCCCAAAAAAAAGTAATGTAAACAAAATTTTTTTTTTCACTTAAAAAAAAAAATTAAATATTTTATTTGTCTAGATAATATTTTAATCATAAGAGCGCACATTTTTTGAGTCTTATTTTAGTTTTCTTTGCATGGATTTTTCATACCGCCTATGAATCTCCTTTCTTCCTTCAATCTTTGTTTTACAATAATACCAGTCTTCGTTTACTATTGCCATGTTTCACTGCATGCATAAAGCTATAACTTGTGATAATTAAGAAATTCCGGAAAATTTGTGCTGAATTCTAGGCAGAGATGGATTTGTAATGTGAATTTCGTATAGAACGTAACAAAAATAACACTTACAGTTGGTATAATATACGCGCGAGTTACGTTCCTAAGGAATTCAATCCAATTGGTCAATTGTGTGAACAAAAAGCAAATGTCAATTTTTTAAAAATATATAATTTTCCGTAATAATGCAATTCTGTCCATGTGTTCCAGCTGCGTACATCACTACTGTAATGCACATTGTATAATAAGCATACTTTTTATTATATGATAAATTAGTACAACTTGGTGTACAATAAAGCTTACAAAAGTCGTTCTTTAGGTGGTTTAAAAAAGCTAGAAAGGTAATATTGGAGTAATAAAATAGTATAAAGCGTATAAGACATTTCGAATCGAAAAGGTAATTGATTGGTAAAAATTTTATTATTTTAATAGAGATTTGCACAGCTTATATACAAACTGCTCTTACTTTTAGTTTCTTTTATGATAAAACGGCAAGCATGAGTAGCGAAATAGAAATTGAAAACGCATTGAGAAGAGTAGCATCGACATCAGCTGACTCGATACTCTAGGAATTAGAGAGGATTGTGTTTATAATAAAACCTGGGAGGTTAAAAAATATCATTAGAAGCAAGCTTACCATATTGAGAAAGTTAAAGTTACGATATGCAAAGAAAATTATTTGTAAATCATTTTGGCATTAAGATAGTTGAACATATTAGGCGCCTTTAAATAAAGCTTAAGTGCGGTTGGAAAAACCTTAGCTCGCGTTTAATCATTTTTTGGTAAATTGCGAATTACTATGCAATACTTTGTGTCGATTAAAACCATTTTCAACATAAAGGTTCAGATGGTCGCAAAAAACCCCGATCCAAGATGAGGAAGTTTGCTGTAAGTCCCGCCGTAGAAATATAAATAGAAGAATCTAGAAATAAGTACTAAATAATGTATTGTCTCTTGAAATGACATTTTTTAAGGTGACAGAGAATTATTTGAAGAAAAGCTTTCTTTATTTAATCCCACACTTGAGGAATAGTCTTTTTTATGTTTGAATTGCTAAGTTGCTCTCATGAAAAGCTAATAACGCTTTACGTAAAGTACAAAGAAAAAAAAAAGAAATAAAGACTCACAAAGTTTTATTAACATTTTGCTTATTTCTTTAAATGAAACCCAATAAATTTCAAAAAAAATTTTCTTAGAACTTACAGTCTAATTTTCGAAAAGATTGTTTAAAAACGAAAATTGTTGGGAGTTTTTGCCGTTCGTCCACGTTTCAGAAAATATAAGACATAATGTGTAGCCTAACCGTCCTGTCCACATTGTTATAAAAAGTTATCTCTTATAAGTGATATTATTTGACATTTTTGAAACTTATTTATACCTAAAACGTGCAGTTTTGTCAACTTTTGGCAGTCCTATATTTTTCAATCTTTTTTTCTAACTTGAAGGAAACCTCGATTTGCTCGTGGTTTCCATACGATACATATATAAAGAAAGTTGTAAATTTTAACAAAACTAGATAAATTAAGAATATTTTCCAATAGAATATTTAGGTTGGCAAATAAGAAGTAGTGTGTGGTGAATACTAAGAAAAAAAGGGAATAATATATTAAGTGTGTTTTCTTAAGTGTTACCGGTGTTTGCAACAGCAGAGCAAAAGCAGTAGAAAAATAAAATGCCTTCCAGCGATCCACTGCCGCCCAAGGAGAGTGCTCTCTTTAGGAAGTTAATGGTAATCTAAAAATTATTGTCCTGGATATATTGTTTTTTATGGTTTGAGTTTTTCATATGTGTACTGTTTTGGTAAACCGTTTGCACACTTTTTGTTATCCTCCCACACGAAAAGAACTTTCTTCACGACCTTTCACATTTATTTAAATAAACAATCTTTGCCATAAAAGTATTATATTTGCAATTGTTTGTTTAATTATTAATTGTTATTGAGATTTTGTGAACAAGTACAAATTAGTTTGCATTTTTATGGCAACCTAACCTCAAAGTTGTGGATATTGCTGTACTGTCACCCAAAATTAAGACAGTTTTAAGGCGTACGTTTGTCTTTAAATTTGAGGGCACTTCGTATTTATTATGTTTCTAATTTTTCGAATTATTATGTTATGAGATTCATATGTGACCAATGAGCTTCCATTTAAGAAAATTATATAATAATTACAAGGCTTCGTTGCCGTTCGGTGTTTACTATAAATAGAATATATTTTGGTTATTTGGAGTTTCCATTTGAAGTTAAGGAGAGTTTAATAAATAACTAATAGAACGTAATTCTTAATATGCAATCATTTGCAGTAAGTGTTAAACGTAATTTTTCCTCTTTCTGATGCTTAGAAATGCTATGAAATGAAACAATATAAGAACGGGCTAAAGCTAGCCAAACAAATCTTGTCGAATCCCAAGTATACGGAACATGGTGAAACGCTGGCCATGAAAGGTTTAACTCTGAATGGTTTGGGACGTCGTGAAGAAGCCTATAAATATGTGAGACTTGGATTGCGCAATGATTTAGGCTCGCACGTCTGTTGGCATGTTTACGGTTTGTTGCAGCGCAGTGATAAAAAGTACGATGAAGCAATTAAATGCTATCGGAATGCCTTAAAATGCGAGAAGGATAATTTACAAATATTAAAGGATCTGTCACTGCTGCAAATACAAATGCGCGATTTGGAAGGTTATAAAGAAACTCGTCACCATTTGTTTAAATTGCGGCCTTCGCAGCACGCGTCATGGATAGGTTTCGCTATGAGCTATCACCTATTGGGCGACTTGGAAATGGCGAACAGTATATTGGAAGCATTTAATCAATCTCAGACATCAATTGTGAGTATTTTTGAGAGATGAAATTAGATAGCGATGATAACAGCAGTAATGCTAATTTTACGTTTATAGGAACCTAATGACTATCGTCACTCAGAACTGTTATTGTATCAAAATCAGATACTTGTTGAGGCTGCTAATTATCAGCGTGCTTTGGAGCACTTGGTAAAGTATGAAAATCAAATAGTGGACAAATTGGCAATTCAGGAGACCATGGGAGATTTATATATTAAACTGGAACAACATTCAAAAGCTGTACCTATTTTTGAGGGGCTTATACGACGAAATCCAGAAAACACCTTTTATTATAGCCAATATTTTTTGGCCAAGGAAATATCCAGTCCTGAAGATAAACTTGCAGTATATAAAAAATTCCAAGAAATTTACCCACGAGCCATGTGCCCTAAACGTTTACCTTTGGACGACGTTACTGGTGAAGTGTTTCGTTTAGTAGTGGATGATTATTTGAGGCGAGGCCTACGTAAGGGTGTACCGCCTTTATTCGTGAATGTACGTTCACTCCACTCTGACCCAGGAAAAACGAAAATCATTGAGGACCTTATGTTGCAGTATTATGAGAATTTGACGCGTTCGGGTCATTTTTCACGTGATGACGCTGATAAGAATCTGCCCGTAGAACCTGCATCAGCCATAGTGTGGACCATGTTATTTTTAGCACAGCACTATGATTATAAGCGGGAAACGGACAAAGCACTGGATTATATTAATGCTGCCATTGAGCATACGCCTACACTAATTGAATTGTTCATCGCAAAAGGACGTATTTATAAGCATGCTGGCGATCCGATAGAAGCTTACATTTGGCTGGACGAAGCTCAAAGCATGGACACAGCCGACCGATACATAAATTCGAAATGTGCGAAATATATGCTACGTGCAAATTTAGTTAAAGAAGCTGAAGAGATTTGCGGGAAATTCACACGCGAAGGTGTGTCACCCATGGAAAATCTCAATGAAATGCAATGTATGTGGTTTCAAACGGAATGTGCATTAGCTTATCAACGCATGGAACGCTGGGGTGATGCACTGAAAAAATGCCATGAAATTGATCGCCATTTTTCTGAAATCATTGAAGATCAATTTGATTTTCATACGTATTGCATGCGTAAAATGACAATGCGGGCATACGTGGGACTATTACGTTTAGAAGATGTGTTGAGGTGTCATCCATTTTATTTCAAAGCGGCTAAATGTGCCATTGAGGTAAGAATTTCTTGCTATACACAGACACCTATCTAACTGAAAAATTAAATCAATTTAGGTTTATATACGTTTGTACGATAAACCGCTTAAATCCGAAGAACGAATTGAAGAAATCGATACTGGTAGGAGAACAATTATTTGTTATGTTCTATTTTTCCGAATTGTTATTATTTTAGAAAATTTACCACCATCTGAATTGAAGAAACTGCGTAGCAAACAACGTAAAGCCAAAAAGAAAGCAGAACTGGAAAGTGCACAGGCGGCGCAAGCACAAATTAAACGTGAACAGCACCAAAAATCGAAACAGCAAGCCAATCAAGACGCTGATCCTGAAGCACCACAACTCGATGAACTTATACCTGAGAAGTTAGAACGACCTGAAGATGCCCTTGAAAAAGCCATTGATTTTCTAAAACCGTTGCAACAATTAGCCAAAGATCGTATTGAAACACATTTGTTGGCATTTGAAGTTTATTCGCGTAAGAATAAAATTCTCTTAATGATACAATCCATAAAGCGCGCATTGGCCCTCGATGTCGAACATCCTCAAGTCCAACGCTGTATCTTACGTTTGATTCAACTACTGCCACAATTGACAAATGAATTGAATGCTAGTGTGAGGGTTGTGGTTGACAAAGCTCTAAAAGGACTGGTAGGCACTAAATCTGCCCAGCAATTAAACAATGAGTTAATTGATAACTTTGGCTTTTCTGTTAAACATTTATATGAATGTGCTCGTACTATGTATGAATTGGATGGTAAGAGACAAGAGGAGGCTATTCAGTTGATTATCTCATTTGATGTAAATAAACTGGAATTGGAGGTAAATTGAAACGGCATTGTCGAACAATAATCTATAGTGTAATTATTAAATTTCTTTCAGGATGCCACTAAAATATATGAATCGTTACGTACTGGTGATTTTGGGAAATGTGAAGAAGCGTTGAAGTCCTATAAAGAAGTTTGTCAAAAACGCTTCAAATATGCCCGTCTGTTTTGTGATAACGTCGATAATGCCACAACCGCCACCGCTACCACCAACGCGACCACCATTATCAAGGAAAATGCAACTGAAAATCATGTAGAAAATCAAGTAAGCTCTGATTTGTAATGTTGTCGTAAACAAAAAAACAACAGCAATAAAAGCTACGATAATAACAAGAGTTACTACAGCAACTACCGCAGCAACCGCAAATCAATAACTATCAGCATAATTAAAGAGAAACAAAACAGTAATAATAAAAATACAGACTACTTGTGGACTATAAAAACTTCAACACCAAATTAGAGAAAAAAATCAACATAATACATATATGCACGATCATTATCGTCTGGTGAAACTTATTACAAAAGAATAATAATAATAACAATAATAATAATAACAAATAAATAATTAATAAAGAAATGATAATAAAAGAAAACTAATCTTAAAAAACAAAAATAAAAAAAAAAAACTCGAAACTAAGTTTAATTCTAACTGAATAAAGTGCAAGTTTTACAATAAGGAAAATAGATCACAACACATTCAAAAGATATTCCTCTTAACTTGGCTAGTACTTCACAAAGAAGGCATGTTTCATTTTTGTCTTTTCTATAAATTTATTATTAATTTTATATTCAAACCGTATATTTCATTTGATTGATTGATTGACACGTTAAAGGGACATACAAGAACACATACACAAACGCGCGCTTACACAAATACCCCTATTCACGTTAAACACGCCCACATCTGCACAGGCAGACATTTATGATTGATTATGTGTAACCCATATATTTATACAAACTTAAGTCTCATTTGAGAGAATCTATTCTGTGCATTCGGCATAATTTTTAAATTACTGTTTTTTATTCTTTCCATTGCATAACGTAAGTAATGTTGAAAACATTGAGGATTAGAACAGTTTTTTTCTATTGCTTTGAATGAATTGTAGAATAAAACGATCATTAATTAAACTCGATCCTAATTAATAAAAATAATTAAATAAATAATAGAAGAACAAATTAAATTTTAATATATTTTATATGTAAAAAACAAAACAACAAGAAAATATTTCGAAGAGACCATACAAATATTATTAAAAAAACAACATTAAAAATGATAATAAATTCTTAATTACCTATGAAATTAAAAAAAAAAAAAAAAATTTAATTGTTTTAATATTTTATTTTTCTTTTTTATTTATTCTTTATTGATTTATTTTAAAATTTATTGGTAATTACAATTTTTGTTTAATTTCCACACCTTCAACAACTAGCGACTGGAATATTTGTAATTTTTCGGTTGTATATAGGACTTTGTATATAAAAGATTGTCACAAGTGATATTTGTTTTTAATGACTTTACTAATTAGGCAGTTAGGTTGTGTGTTGTGTGTCCTTGTACAATTAGAAACATACCTTTTTTATGTGTGGCCGTAATTATAATATGTTGTTCTATTGTGTTTCTGTCTCTTATCTAATCTGTCTTTGTCTAACATTATAACCTGTAAAAATTTCGCAATACGTTCAATTGGCCGCTTATCGAAACTATAGAAAGCCAAATAGCAAAAGATATAAGTATTTGAAAACGAAGTCCTTCTGTCTAATGAAAATCTATTTATTTAGCATAGCGGCGCGAATCTTCAAAAGACGCCACTTAAATTTTCTCTATTTCTAAATTGACCGAAATCTAAGATGGCTCCTTGAACCACATATAGTAAACGTATGTAGTAAGTTATACATCGATATTTCAGAGCGGGTATACTAATTTTATTAAATTATAAAGTAAACTTCAGTGGTGTAGAGCGAATAATGAAAACCATTTCGCCATGTTCATGGCTTTTTTGATTGAAATCACGGTTACGAATGCAAAATTTTCTTTGGTAGAACAAACATCAAAAATCAAGTTTCTCATTTTTCTCGTCAGTGCTAGTTTTGAAAGTTAAGTTGCACGTGAAATCTCGCAATTAGGAAAAGACAGACGGTTCTTTTTTTCTACTTAAATCTATTTCAAACTTTTTATTGAAACTTTTAACTTTTTTTCTCATCTTTTCGTTACTGGTCTGCCCATTAATATTTTTGTTTATGATGTTCATGTCAGTGTGAATGCAAAATGAATTCAACAATTTATAATAAGAATTTAGTTGCAAAACGTTCTTATAATTGTAGTTGATGTCGTTGATGATATAATAAAAAGATAATTTTGTGTATTAAACAAATAAGCGCTTATTTGGGTTTTCATGTGTAATTCTACACATTAAAAATATTTGATGTGAATTTTGAATTTTGACTAAGATTATTATTGCGCACCTACGCATTAGTAATACTTTAATAGTTTTTCAACAAATAGTAACATTAAAAAATTGTACATCGTAGTGCATAAACTCGAAATATTTATTGTAAGGAAATGAACATCTTTCCGCAAAGCACGCTTATTACAAGTTTATTTAGAATTATAAGCGCTTATTTATTTCAGTAATTAAATTTTGCTACGGAACAAGTCATTAGTTGAACGCAAGGTGCTGAAGAAGATAAGCTTTGGAGAAGAAAAAGAAATAAAGTAAAAATAAACAAAAATCAACGTATTATGTGCAACAGAATTCCACTAAGGTGTAAAATAAAGGGCAGGGATATATATTGATGAATGAATATGTGCTTATTTATTCATTATTATTAGTAATAATAGTAAATCGCCAGAAAAAAAAATCAATTACAAAGGAATATTTTGAATCAATTTAACTGCATTTGTACAAGACTCGAAAATGTTTAGCAGTTAGTTATATAATGTAGTGCTTTTACCCTTATTAACAGACAGCTTAAGGAAGTGATAGTGATTGGTGCACATTTTACACATTACCCGAAACGGATTGAACAATTCATAATTGGTTCAACATTGTGGCAGCTGCAAGAGCACCAAGTGTCTTGAGACCCTGATGCGCATATGAACATTAATAAGTTCTAATAAAGTTGGCGAGTAAATATCTCCTTTTATTAATTTAAAAACGAAGCTTACAACCAACATTTCACGAGCTTCAATGAGCTTTATTCTATTGTTGTACGGTGGAAGAAGTTGAAGAGGATCCCATCTTAAACCTCGCAAAGCAAACAACAAGAAGTCCTAAACAGAGTTCAAGAGATCAACATTGCATCTATAACTAGGAAGCTAAACTAGCGACGAGTATTGCAGTGTTCGTATAACTAAGGATGTATGCAAGCGCTTGGTGACATATATAGGTAATTGAGTGCTTTAGACGATGTTTTACAAACCCTAAAAGGGATCTACCTATGATACATAAGAAAATCATATTTGAATTTTGAGTCGAAAACAACTCCTAAGTCTTTGTAATTGGAGGATCCAGGAATCCAGGATGTGATTGTCAGTACGATAATAAGAGGTCAACGTATTACACCACGCAAAAGACATCTTTCTATATTTTTGTGAATTCAGCAGCATACCATTGATTGTACGCTATGAACACAGATTCTCAAAATCAGACTGAAGAAGTTTAGTACCATGTATTGAATCGAAGGAGAGGGAAAGTTTCAGGAGGGTCATTCACATATAAAATAAATAAGAGCGGATCAAGGCGACTGACCTGAGGAACACCAGGACACAATTACTCTGGATTGGCGAGAATTCATCAACATTCGTTGGATGCGGCCAGACAGATTGCTACTGAACCAGGCAATCAGATTGTTCGAAAAACCAAGTCGATGGAATTTATAGACTAACGTCCTACGATCAACTCTGTCGAAAGTTTTGGAAAAGTCCGTGAAGATAACATCAGTTTATTTGTAATCGGAAAACACTTCGCAGATTGGATTACAAAACTCCATAAGATTAGCGGCAGTTAGATCTAGCTTTTAAAAAAACGCACTGACAGTGCGCTATAATTAACTCTAAAACTGGAGTAAGCCTTTTTGTTATCAGGCATTCAAATACAAATATTAAAAACTTGTGTATGGGGAGAACATGATAAATCAGCACAATGTCGAAGAATAGCAGACGAAACCCTATCAGGACCAGGACAGTTAGAAAGTTGCAAACTTCACAATGCTATAAACAGTTCTCCTTCGGAGAAAAATATCAAGCGAACTTATCGAATGCGAATAATTATCAAATGGACTATTTGAACATTGGTAGATTTCATCAAAAAAATCAGCAAAAAGGTTAGTTATTACAGATGCATCGAGTTATTACAGATGTTCGAAATTTCCAATGTACATAGCGGAAGAAAATGCTCTTTCTTTTCGGTTACAATTTACGAATTTAAAGAAGTCCTTTTCATTTTTAGGATGTTTGCGCCTGGTTGCTTCTGTAAAATTGGAATAGCAAGTTATCTTCACGGCGCTATAATCTTGTCTAGCAGTAGAGTATAACATATAACCACTAACCCAACCATTACGAATGAATTTTTTAAATAATCCACCTCTCTTATTACGGACCATCCATAAATGCTTGGTACCCCAAGCAGGAGAAATTGAGGTGTGACACGACTTGAACGGTACCGAGAGGGAAATTGCGGAAAAAACCTGACCGTAAATAAAGAATAACAAATCATCCCTACCTTCATAGCGTAAGTTTCAGTCGTCGCCACCCACTACTATATAATATAGAATATCAATATTCTATTTCATTTTTTTAATAGATAACTGATAGTTTGCGAATTTGCAATTAAGATAAATGTATAGTGTATAGCGTATAGTATATATTGTATAGAAAAATGGTCTGAAAAATATAAAAATTATAATATCATCGCATGAACCTTTAGACATCGGTATTTTTATTCATATTTCATTGTGCGTTCATTAAAAAAACAAACTGCAAACCTAAAATTTGTCCAATTAACAACTATACTTTGTCTTGTGTCTTGTAAGTTATAAACTCTAAGTTCTTCACATTGCTTACATTTGAAACTCTAATCGAATCGCTTTGAGTCTGGCTCAAAGTTGCCGCCACATTTCTGCTTAAAATAGGGAAGAAATTGTTATTATTCAGCATCTTTCGGTTACAGTATCCGCCTGTCGTGTGCTGCAACACGTTAAACTAGCCTAATAGATTCTATTAGGCGACTTGCGATTTCGTTATTACTCTGTAACACTATGTCTATAGTGTCAACTAAATTTTTACTTTGCATGAATCCTACATACAGCCAGTGTCCGATTTTCATTACTCAAATCAGCTTTAAAAAATTATTCTGTCGAATGGAAATTTTATTTTGCAGACTGTCTAAAATGTCTGTACTTTCGTCGATTCTGGCTGGTATAGTATTGTAGTTTTCATCACGCACGCTTTGGGTGTTGCGGAAGAACCCTTTAGTGTGCTCATATCCCCTATGAATTAAACTATGAATGGGTGGTAAAGCTCTTTCTGCGCAGAGTCTGTCTAGTTCTATTCTTTTTGGGTCGAATTTTTTTTTATAAAAATTTCTATACAGCTCTGCTATATGAGACATTAATTGCTGCTCTATTCATCTTTTTTTTAAGAGGAACAATTATCCACGAATAAGGAACCCTTCAATTTTTGTGGATCGTGATGCATTCGGCAATACCGGAGCGGAGACTGTTTTTTCTAAATAAAATCTGTTAATAATAATTCATATAAAACTTCTAAAACTTCCTAATATAATACTAATCTACTAATAATAACTTGTAACGCCATCCATATCGACGCCGAAACGGAATATTCATGGGCGTAAAGTTTTGCTGTGCAAATGGTGGAATCAGTCAGATGTAGTGTATCCCGTGCTGC